TATATATATATATATATATATATATATATATATATATATATATATATATATATATATATATATATATATATATAGAACTGTGATGTTATTTACTAGAGATATCTAATGCACAGAAAACCTGGGCGACGAAATATTAATTTTTAAATAAAAAAAATAATTAGTTTATACTTAATACAATTATAAATAATGCAGTTAAAACTCTATATTGATATTTTTATTCATTTCTTTTAAATAATAAAAAGTTCCTATTTTCCGATTATCTTTACTAGAATCTTCCTAATAATCTTAATAATAATAGACAAGTAGACAAGTAGACAATAATAATAGAGACAAGTAGAAAAATTTACCTTTTTCAAGATATTCAATATCGGCAAGTACGTAGAGTATATTGTTTTCGCAGCGTTATATTTCGAGATATATCGTTGCAATCGTACTATCAATTGTTGTTTGCAATGTGACTGATTATCGTTTTCTTCTCTGCACTCATTTAAAAGATCGCTGCATTTTAACTTGTGGACAAAATACATGCATCAAATCTTATAGCTCAAGTTAACGTGAAAACAAATACACGAATCATAATTTTATAATTAAATATACAAAAAGTGCGCGGATTATAACATACCAATATAGCATATTAATAAAAAATATTTATTTTATAGATATGATAAATTATACACATCATATGATACGTAGCATTAAAAGTTATACCTGTAATTCGATAGTATATTTCAATTTCTTCTTTTTTTCGTAATAGAGCTTATCCAAAAGTCGACGTTTCACGTCGTTATCATTAAATATATCTGCATAAAGTTCCTACAAAACGATCGATACAATGATATTTATACGTCACATTGTTCCCTAGAATTATCGCATTTTCTTCCAGATTCGCCGAAACAACAAAATTATCTTTGAGACTTAACCAATGTCGATTTTATCCTTACGGATGATTGTAATTGTCTAAATGCCAAACAGAATTCCTTGTGATTATCCAGTGATTTCAGTTTATCGCCTTTGGATAAATTCTTGATAACGTTGCGATAATTTTTAACATCCGCCTCCAGAGATGTAAGCTTTCTCAATACTGTCGATTTCAATTTGGTAGCTTGTGACAATCGCAGCTTCTTGTCGCGCGCTATGTATATCAAAATAATCCATAAAATAGAAGCACAATTAAAAAAAGAGATTTTATTTCAAAACATTTTCTTTATACGATTAGATACATCTAATCTAACTAATCTCGCATGAAAATTCAATAATATCTTGTGCTTAACCGTATAACTTCAAAATGCCACGATATCGAGTTTTTCTGTCCCGTGAAATACATCTTTCCATTTGTATCACTTTGTGAGCTTTCGTCCAACCCATTTCTTTAACGCTTCTTGATCTTTCCTGGACCGCAGCATTGAATATTGAACGTTACATTAAAACGTATGTGAAGAAATCATCACTATTATCTGCTATTATTCGATTAAATGCGAGCCGTATTCAAGTTATTGTAGCAACGAGAATCGTAACCATGTCAGCCTATAATGATGTTGAAGTACTCATTCTGTACCTATCATATAGCGGGAAAGAACAGTACTTCGCTTTAATATCGCATGTGTAAAAAAGGCTGCAGAATAACATTAAATGAGTGTGTGTTGTCGAAAAGGAATTTATTTTTATTAAAATCGTTGTATTTTTGTAAGTTTTATTAACGAGATACTGGTAATTGGTAGACTACGTTTAACGTAATATACCCAGTAAACGCTAGATATTCCTAAAATATTCCGTTCGTATTCCAAAAGTTCCGTATATACCGGAATAGTAAATAAATGTTCACAGAATGTTCAAATAATCATTAAATATTTAGAATATTCTATGAATATTATTTGTATGTGCAATAAGGAATATTTAATGTATACCTTTCGTTCTCTATCGATCGCTTTATACATCGTGCATTGCATTCTTATATTCTCAGTGATTCTCATCCAACAATATATTTATATTAATTATTTTGCATTAGACCATTTTATATCTAGTACAGAGATTGTGTTTCATACAATTGAGAAGAAGAATAATCTTAACAGGGCGAGACGGTTTCGTGGTAGTTTTTGTTACTTCATGTAGCTATCATATTAATTTTGGATTTTATAATTTATATGTTTTTTATTTTATATTGTTTTACATTTATATATATCCTTATATAAATAAACCGTATGCCTAAATAAATACTATCTAAATAATTACTAAATAAATACTAACTAATAATTTATAAAACCATTTTATATAACAAACATTTTTTTATATTAATTTATAATAATTTTTAAATAATTTATAAAACCATTTTCTTAAAATAATCTTTACTATGTAATATATCAATCTAAATACATATTGGAGTGTCTCGATTGCACACAGACTCGTTTGCATACCATCAACCGGTGCTCTGCTTTATCTACATTGATAAAAATCAGTGTAAATTTACAAAGAAAATTTACTTATTTTTTTAGTAAATTTAAAAAATTTTTATAGAGTTTTTTATTTAAAATTTGTTTTTCCCTCTTATTTTGATTAAAAATACAGAAATATTACGAAAAATTACCAGGAATTTGGTATTTTTACAGATTTTTAGTAAATTAGTTTCCGGTATTACTAAATTTATCCATAATATTACATATATGTGCTTAATTTTCACTTCTATACAGTAAATTTACAGTGTGGCCTGGAATTTTACTCTCAGTAAAATCATAGTATATCATAGTAATATCATAGTATTTTAGTAAAGTGGAATGTGCACGTAGACCAGCCTCCTCTGACTGAATACATTTTATACATTTAAAAGTGCTTACAAAATGTCGTAAAAACGAACCTTATAGATGGTGTTAACTTTGGCCGGTGACTCGTTGAAGGTAACTTTAATACCTTTAAAACACCAATTTTAACGTTTTGGGTAAACCCAGATAGCATGAATGTCTTATGGACGTTTAAGTTTGGATATTGAAACGTTCATAAGACGTCCGAATAAAACTCAACAGACGTCCGGCGGACGTTCATAGGATGTCCGTTTTTATCTATTTTGGACGTCCTTGGAATATTAAAAAAAGTACCTACACTGGATATTATTTTTAATGTCCTTATTCGGTTCAATTTTCTAACAGAAACTATTCGTAAATGTCACAGCGTTTGCTGATATCACTTGAAAATTTTAGATTACTTGATTCCAATGTTACATCACATTTAAAAATTCTCATTGGCACTAGTGGGACTCGAAATTGGATCCGCGAGGCACCTCTCGATTATAAATCTGTTGCTTTAGACACGACACCATTTCATCGATCGATATAAACGTCTTACATTTTGTCTATATATGTTGTAATTAACACAGTAATATAATTTTCTAATAATATGATTTAATAAAATGATTTAATTTCAATAAAAATTATATTTTTTGTACTTTTATTGTTAACTTAAGCTAATGAAGTAAGGTCTACAAAATCTCGCACACTCCATTTTGTTATCTTTAAATTTGTATAATAAAAATTCTTTATTGTTAATTGTTATTGAATAAAGTCATAAAAGACTATAAACTTTGAGTAATTATAAAATAGCAGAGAAAAGTAGCCAAAAGCGACATAGGCCTCCTAAAGCGATATACCTCTATATCTCATATATTAAATATTGTATTTTATCGAAATTAATATAAACGTAATCCGTTTTATCAGTTAAGTCATAAAAAATGCATAAATATTTCTTGTTCCTTTATATGCTAAATTAGCAAATATCGAGTTTTAGAAATTCGTAAGTTTTACTTTTATGATTTTTATTGACGAATTACATAGGCTAAGTAGCGATAATTATTATTTTGTTCAATATTAAGTTGTTCTACATGCATTTGGCTTTTGTACAAATATTTTTTGAATATTTTTACCTTCATCACTTTTTTACTGTATAACTTGAAAATTTTTATGAGAATGTATCTTAAAGTACCTACAGTATGCGATACTTTGTGACTAACATAACTTGATTAATAACCTCCCATTGTAAAGTGACATTTGTTTATTACAAAGTTTAATTTTATTTAGTTTAAAAATATAACATATGTAAAATATGTGAGAAAATGAAAAAGAAGGAAAAAAAGATATGTATTTATTTAATTATATTTCCCTTTTATAATATTATATTTTGAATAAATGAATATTATTCAACCATTAAATGCATTAATGCTAACTATTTATTATCAAATATTATCATATATGCGACATGTTATATAAATTCCAATAGGTATGTCGCTTTTGACACCTATTTTCTTTGAAATTTTCGTGCGTTTTACGAAAACATTTTTTGTTTTAAATCTAGAAACAATTTCAATAATAATGTGATATTATCTGATAGAAGGTACTTTCAACTACATATATATATATTTATATTTTGAGCTTTATATTAAGACATAACGTCGTATATTTTGAGCTTTATATTAAGACATAAAAATAAAGTCGCTTTTGGTGCCTTTATTCTACTACTAAAAAAAAGATCTACCTTATTATATAAGGTTTAATTAAATTATTTAAATTTATATTATAAACATATAAATATATAAACATATAAATCAACGCAATATACAAACATATAAATCAACGCTTATTATAAGCGATGGGGTATCTGTCTAATGTGATCATGAAATGTAAATTAAATTAGTTAATAATAGTAATTTCTCACAAATTCTCAGAGTATCCCAAGTAATGATTTGCGAAATATTTATTATAATAAAGTTCCAAAGAATACTTTAAAATAAATTAGGTTCGGATAATTCTTCAGGAATTCTTCAGATATTCATTTTTCTAATTATTTAAGTATTCTTTAAAATGAATTCTCTATGAACTTCTATTCATCTTTATGCTATCTGGGTCAACATTTTCTCATTAACATATCTTTGAACATTATCCTACTAACTGGATAATTGCAACGATGCAATGTTCGTGAGTAAAAAATGGTAAGACAAATTCTATAAGGTTTATTTCTAAGAGCCAGATGCAAGCACATAAAAAATAAATAACAACATGTGCAAATAATAACGTGTTAGTTACATACACCACACTGATATAAGTGAACATTAGATAAAAATCTGTCACATTCTTTGCTTATCAAATAGCTGATTAAAAATGATCTTTCAAAAATATATTATAGTTGTCTTTAAAAGACGTTATTATCACGTCAAAATTGTTCACATTTTTCAAATATCAGTTATTGGTTACATGACGTCTAGGACTGGTAATCATCATTTATTGACGTGAAAATGACGTGACGTTGCTAGCTGGGGATAGAATAATATGTAGTGTTGATAGCATTCTCAACATGTTTATAGTCGGATTTTATATATTAAGACATTTATGTCTAAGATCGGATATCTTATGGACATCCAAATTATGGACATTAACGGATGTCCAAAATCGGATATCTTATCCAGATAGCAGAATGACGTCAGAAGACGTCTTATTGACGTCAGAGACATCAATATGACGTCCTCTGACATCATTCTGCTACTTGGATATGGACGTCCATTGCAAGTCCATAGATGTGCGAATGTAAAATGGACATAAAATGGACGTCCATAGGACATCCTGTGCTATCTGGGAAATTACAAATCACTCGGTATTTTAACATCGTAAATCAGAGATTAAAATTGACCACCGATTTTCACAGTAAAATAAGGTGAAAATTTTTATCAGTATAGTGAATTACTAAATCCAATTAGATCTACCAATCATTACACTCCGTGTCCAACCGGGCTGTGTGCAATCGGGCCTCATTCGTTGGAATATACCCGAGCAGAAATTGAATCTATGTCTAGTAATTAGTACTGATCTATGTCTAGTAATGGTACAGAAAAGTTCGATCTTATATCGCTACTAGCTAGGAATGTAACGCTCACTTCTCCTAGTAGCTGTACCAGAAAAATGATTTAGTAGCTAGATACAAAAAAATAACTTGTAACTATAATTGGTATAAGTACTAGACAGTTCTAATGTCCAATTTATATTCAGGATTTACCGATAATTTTCTATCTCGTTACTGTACAATCTTTTTCATCTAGCCACTATCTATGTAATTGGTATAGTTACTAGATAGTCCTGACATGCAAAAGACTGAGTAGAAATATTTAGCCAATCACGAGCTAGTGATTGGCTAGAAAAATTATCTAGTTATTACTATCTAGCCACTAGTCTTGAAATCTACTCTGCTACATTGATATTCTACTACAGATACATTTTTGCTCGGGTACATACATGCTTAACTATGTATCGCATAGTACTTTCAATTTTGAGATATTAATTAATTAAAATCGTCTCATAAGGATACATTATATAAGTGTAAATCGTAAGAACATCGTCGGAGTCATTGGGATCACTGCGTGTCGCTTGGTCGTCAGGTTAAACAGCGCGGTCGGGGAGATATAGATAGAGGAGTGTATATCAGTTGGACACGGGGCAATTGGACACAGTCCAATCACAAGTCGCTGTTCCAAGGGACCCTACAAATGTCTCTAATCACACGGTGCTGTGATTGGCTGTGTCCAAATGCACCGTGTCCAAGTGCACCGCTCCCTAGATAGAGTCCTTATAGTAAGAGTCTGGCTTATATTTCCAGTTTGACAACACATGGCGTAGTAGATAAGATGAGATAAGATTAGATGATATCAGGCTGCGTTCCGAAATTCACTGCCAGTATTGAAATTCTATAGTATACGTAATATGCACTATAGATTTTCAGTACAGGCAGTGAATTTCAGAACGCAGTCGAAATAAGACCTCTTAGATATGAAGAATTTATAGAGCGTGACAGTATAAACATTATTAGTCAAGATTAATGTTTATTAGTACTAAAGTATTAATAATAGTTATATAAAGAAGTAATAAACAACACAAGTAAGTAAATAACTTATACTAAAATAATATATATACACACTGTAATGCATGCGAATGTGTCGAATAATAATAATGTATCAAAAATAATTTTCTAATCTGTCATATTATATCGAATATATAATATAAGGTATATATAAATTACAGAAAATGATTGAAATGATTGAAAACATGTTTCTTTCTTTTTTGTTCTTTTCGTATCATTTGAATGTCACTTGCCTAGCATAGATTCGAGACATCTTATTAGTTCCGCCATATTTTGTCAAAACCAATAAAAAGTTTGACAACAGACTCTTACTATAGGGACTCTAGATATAGGGTAGGTGCCGGATTGGTTTGCCGGCTTAGAACAGAGGCCAATCACCTAGTATATTTGTATCACGTAAGTTCATACAAGGAAGATCTCCTAATTTGGCTGTACTATTCTTTATTTTCTGTTTTTGATAATGTTGATGTCCCTTATAATTATGTAAATATGAATAAAAAGTGGAACTTTTCACGTTTATCTGAATATTCTTTGTAGATTCTATGAATATTTCGGAATGTTTCGGAATATTCTTAAGATCCCAAGTAGGAATCGTATTTCACCAGTACGGAAAAATGGCCCGATACTGGGTCGATACCGAAAAGCGGATATCCGGTTTTGGTACTGGCTCAGTACTGGGCCTAATATAAAAAAAACTGTATCACTGGTACTGGCTTCGTACTAAGGTTAGGTACTGGATAATAGTACCGCACATGTATTGAGGCGTTATCGAAAAATGTTTGTCGTTTTCGGTACTGACCCAGTATTAAAAAAGTTGTATTATTGATACTGGCCCTGTTCGTAGAAACAGTACTGAATCCCAAGTAAGAATCGTATACAATCTGCCAATAGAAGATTTTGGGCCAATATTATGCCGGTACCGAGAAACGGACGATACTAATGTCCTTTATAGGAAAACGGAAGAGGTCACTAACGCGAAACCTAGATAGCTCAGTGGCAAGAACGCTTGCCTGACAAACGGAAGACTCGAGTTCGATTCCAGCCGTCGTCCCGAAGATTTTTTCCTCATGACTATTAAAAATAGACATGTATAGGTACAAACAAGAACAGCCCAGCCATGATTTGATCTTTCTTTCCGTACTATATAGTTATGATATTAACAATTGTACAAATAATAAAAGTTACTAAGAATCGATACTAGCCCAGTACTGAGAATAGATATTTCCCCAGTGCTAAGAATCAATACTTTTTTTTATACTGGTACAATACTGATTTTCGGTACTGTGACAGTACTGTTTTCCGATACTGGCTCTTTTCTATCATCCCAGAATCACACCAATACTAAACCCATACTGGCATCTGGTACTATACCAGTAATGTTTACCATAAATTGGACAACTTTGATGCCAGTAGTAAATTCCGAGTAAGTCCCAGATGCACACATTGACAAACGGACACATCCGATCATATGTCGTTGTTTATAGTCTCTAGAATATCTCTAGGCATACGGCGTTGTGGTTGGCTGTGTCCGTTTGTCAATGTGCGCATCTGGGACGCTCCCTAAATTCCTACTTGGGATGTTAATTTTGGATTTTAGGAACATTTTATAAATATTCTAGGAATATCTAGCGTTTACTGAATTTTATCTTCCTTTGACTGATCTACTCATGATTATTTGTCGATTCGGTAAATCCTGTCGCAACTAAATTCATCATCTGATGAGATCACTTTACTGAACG